CAGTACACGTGCCTTCCCCTCTGGGAAGTTTCGTGCAGCCATTTTGCTTGTCAACCCAAGGGACCCAGTTCAAATTCCACTCAGGAGAAAAATGTGGAATTCTTCCCCGCAAGATGCCCCCAAGTGCTGAGCTTGAAATGCCGTACCTAAAAATTGAACTCTTTCTACTCCCTTCTCACACCCCCTTTCTGAAACCAGCTTGAGGCTGGCAAATCAGTGCAGACACAAGTTACAGAAGAAGACCATCTGTTTTGAAATGTCTTCATCTGACCCTTCATGCAATGAGAGGTCATATTTTCACCGAATCCAGAAAACTGAAAATTGTCACTTCTGTCTGTGCCCTTGAGCTATAGAGGGGATGTCATAATACAAAATACAGAGATCTGGCTTTGGTAAAGGAACCATACTCAAGTCTCTAGACAGGGAGAGTAACATTAAGAAAGGGGCCTATTTCATCTACACTAGTAGACAGTCTCATATGGAAAGCTCTCTTACATGCAGTTATTCCTTGGATAACATGGGGTAGAGGTGTGGCTTCACCTCACAAGCTAACGTAAGTCTCCAGCAGCATATCTGTCAAGGAGGCCAGAACATGGTCAGAACACATTGCACTCAAGGTGTTCTGGGCTGATGTCTCTGGGACCCATTGCCAAACTAGACCCACCAAGAGACCTGGAACCCTTGAGGTTTAATGGTGATGAAAAGACCCACCGGCTCATCTTCAAGATTCCACACTCTCTTGAGCCTCATATCCTAAAGAAGAAATACCTAGCCCTGATTCAATCTTCAAAAGAGCATAACTAAAGCAGTTATTGCTCACATAGACCTTTTAAATATAAAACATGATACAAAGAATTGCTCTCAGCCAATTCTGAACCATTGAGTTGGCCTGTATAATTGATTTCTTGACTTTTGTCGCAGAATGGTGGGTTCATCTTTGATAGAAATTTGTCCTGATAGTCCAGTAATCATCCAAAAGTCATAATAAATCATTTAAACTTAGATATGGTACATTTATCTCCATATGATGCTGTCAGATGGAACCACTCCACATGTTTTTAGTTTTTGGGGTTTTTTGTTAAGAACAACTTCTTCCCTTGGAATGGTATCTCTGAGAAATTTAAAGAGGTTACGAAGTAATAAAGGATAAATGAAAAATCATCCTTGCAGTCTCTGAGAAAGCCAAGGGGGAAAATTGTGCTACTGTCCCTTCTTGGATGAAATTGGTGTGTCCTCATCGTTCAAGCAGATGCAACAGCTAGGAGCAGATATTGTATGCCAGTGAAAAGAATATATATTGCACAACATAAAAGGCTGCAACATAAATTTGAAGAAATATGGAATTCCCTCTTATAGGTAGGTCAAACTTTTCCCTCAAGCAGATAATTACAGGCTTGGGGTGAGTAAATCTTATTAGTCTCTTACCACCTTATCTCCACACTCTCTACTCATAAGATACTGGTACTGGATAATATCTTCCTTCAGTCCCTTTCCTGAATGCTGTGTTTGGCACAGCCTTATCCTGTCCTGTTCCAATCAGAGCAATATTTTCTTGCTGATGGTGAACAGTACAACTGGTTTTGTGTTATCAGTAATTAAGTCAGGTCAAAGAACAGCCAGAACCAGAATCCCACATCAAAACTGTACCCCAGTTCAAGAAAGAATAGTGCAACAAATCCAAATGTTGTAAATGAACTTTGTCTCAATAATGAGTCAAACACATCTTTGGTTCCAGACACACTACCAAAACCCTGAGGCATTAGTAATCTAACACACAAGTTAGGCCAACAGCCTGTAACAATAATAAATAAGAGGTGAGTTTTGACTGTGACCTACTAAACTTGATCCGTTAACATGAACCCTTGAGCCCCAGCAGAACTTCTCTGGTTGTAGAATTCAGATCATAGGTACTATAGCATGAATGGTTTGATCTCTATTATTCTGCAATATTTAGACTAAAAACATACTAGTTCTGTTAGGCATTTGTTTTGAACAGAGTATAAACTGACTTACTGTGTTGCCCTCTGTGATGGGAGAAAGGGGAAGAGTCTTTCATGACCCAGGTGAGATTCCAAGCAGAATGATCAGAAGGAAGAGGAGGACTATTTGTTGGGGATTCCAAAGTGTTCAGACCTTTAAAGGCAAAGAATATACATGAGTGTTATTCACATTATATTTATTTGGATGCTACTTTTCAGGCTCAAGGATTGTAATGAGTTTTGTGGGCTCTATGTAATGAGAGATGAAATGCAGACACCACTTCAGTAGAACAGTGTAGTTGCATACAACTATAATCTAACAGCTTTGAGACAAGTGTAGAATATCATACCCAGAGGAAATGGCTAATTCAAATTCCATAGAGTTATATTTCAATCCAAGGCAGACTCAAATCAGGATTCAATAGATCTCCACTGCCTCTCTTCATATATGTGCAGAGAGAATATATCAATTGTTTTACATGTGAAAAATTATTCTTACTGCCCAACAGAAACTCCAGCCTTTTCTTTCTTACTGTATTTCCAAGCTTTGCTTTGACCGCACAGTGTTTCAAGCTTGCTGTTTTGTTTATATCATCACTTAAAAGATCCTGCACATAAAGCAGATTAATTCATGCTCAGCTGGGTTTCTATCATGCAAATTTAAAGATATCAGGGATTAGGCTGTTACAATGACCCAGACTGTTCTGTGATGTTCTGTTTTTATCTTTATCCACTCTACAAGACCAGAATGGTTCCAGGGGTGTGAGAAATGGTACCTGAAACCAAAGGGAATCCAAACAGGTGCAACAGTAATTCATGGGCATGAAGAATGTGTTAGTTTAAGGAATGTAATATTCCTATGTCATTTGCAGGGGTCTAGTTTTGATGCTTACCATTATAAATTGAACATAACAGTATAAGCAAGAAGAAAATCAAGTCCTAGAGCTTTTATATAGAAATAAAGATTGTAACTCTAAGCCTTCTGATTACAACAGCTTTAGGATATAAATGGACTTTATCATGGTAGTACGGTCCCAGTGGTGTTGTAGCCACGATGGCCTAGAGAATGTAGGAGAAAAAAGCATTTTTTGTGACATCTTTTACTGGACCAACTATACAGTTGGGAAGGCTGTTGGATGAGGGGGTTTTTTACCTGAAAAAAAGAGCCAACCACTAGCTGAGCTAAATGGCAGGGAGACAGCTCCACATAAATTAAAACAATCTGCTTGGAGGGATGGAGGAGTGTCGTGAATTAGGAGAGAAGAGGTATTAGCAGGAGTCCTTATAAAACAGAAGTGCAGTATAAGGGCAAAAGCTAATCCAACAACTCTCCCAACTATACAGTTGGTTCAATAATATACCACAAAAATTCTTGCCTCTGTTACAGTGTCATTTTCTCATTCACTGTAGAATGACAAAGTTTTGCTTCTTCATTAGCTAATGTCATATTGTCCCTTTGCCAATGTATAAATTAGCTGAGCATTATTACCTAGAATTTAGCAATATAACTATTCATGTAGTGGATCAAATTTAGGGTCCTGTTCTAGGCTTTCAATGGAGTTCTTTCCCAACATACAATTACAATATTAACACATGGTTGTGTGTTAACGTAACTATAGGAGACTTGCGTCCTACCCTCAGATAGGGCTTGAATTATGTCCTTAAATAAAATTTGATTATAAGGATAATCTCCAAATCAGACATCTGTTGCTAAGGTCAGATTTTATTTTGGAACTTTTACTTTCATTACACTAATATTGCTGGTCAAAGGAGTTACAGTGAACAAACTGAAGCTCTTGAAGCGTCTGACTCCAACTGACTCTATGGACTCAGAAAAGATTCAGCTTCCTAATGCTAATTCACATGATTTCTCAATCTCTAACAGCCATAAATGAACACAGAGATTTCATGCATATGTTCATGGTCAAAACAAGTCTTGAATCTGAATCTAATGGAGCCCTTGGAAGTTCAAAATTTGTTTCTGGTCCCTATTTTCCTAAACAAATTATATTATCTCAGGGTATGTCCACCTAATGAATTGCAAGCATGATGGCCATGTATCTTTATACTAGCTTAACAGAATTGTAGCAGCTGTAGTTAAGACATATAGCACAAGCTTTAAAGTGTGCCAGAAATTTGGAAACTGCATTTCCTACCAGTGTCACCATTAAAAATCAAAAGAAAGCCCCATTACTATCCTGACTAACTGTAGGATACCATTTGCCATACAGTATGTTGCCAAACAACATTAACACTGAAGCATACCTCCAAACTGTTCACTTTTGTAAGAACAATGGTATTAGGTATATTCCACAAATACATGTGTGCTGTTCCTCAAAGACTGCTTCAACCTAACATCAACTTCAGTTAAAATGAAATTCATCTTGCCAACACACTTAGTTTTACAGCAAAAGAGTATTTTACCCTAATAATTGTACTCTATTTATGTGGTTGCTTACCCATTTTTGTTGTTATTAATACTGTATCTCTATTTCAAATTATTGCCTTGGTGTTTTAGTCTTAATTCAAAGAGAAGAAGGTTGTATCTGAGATTTTGAATCCTTCCTAATTCAGCTGTCCTCCAAGAAAGATGCTGGATAACAGGGGGTTTTCTGTATAGCAAAGAGGCTATGCTTCAAAATGAGGAATTACATGATTTCAGGTCAGTCATAGGTCAGGGAAAAAGACCTTTTCTCTACCATTTTATTTTACCTTTAGGCTATTTTATGTCTTGAAAGATAAATTCAATAGGCCTACCACACATGTAGACGTGAGATGAAACTTTTTTGTCTAAATCTTACTAGAAGAAATTGTTTTGTAAACAGTCCACAAATAAGACATTTCTGCATCCTTATGGAATTAAAATTAAAGCCAAGAGGGCAAAAAAAGGCAAAAAAAAAAAAAAAAAAAAAAAATCTTCCTCTTTCTAAATATGCCAGCTGCCCTTTCTGGGTCCATGTGTTATAGTGCTTTATCACTTTTCCACAGCAACAGTAACCTTTTAAATAAATGAATGAATTAGCAGCTGGAATCTGACAGCTCCATTTTTAGTAGCCAGCAGTTTAGCATGGTACAATAAAATGCTGAAAGAAGGTGCATTTCAGTGCACAAGCTTAAACATTCAAATCCTTCCTTTGCAGCACTATCTGATGTTTCTGCCAAAAGGAACATTCAAGGCCAAATTCTGACTCTAGATACCTCATCTGTGCTATAAGCATGCACCCAAGGGGAACGTTTGATAGGACTTTTTTTTTTTTTTAAACTTGTATAGAGGAACTTCAGTGGAGGATATGGAATTTACTCAGTTAACCAGGAATATGGAGAAAAATAAAACAATTCACTTGTACTGAAGCCAAGACTCAAGCCTATGCATCCTTATGCAGTGATGTTTATGTGAATTATACCATGCCCACAAACACACAGAGATAGAACACCCACCTGGTCAAAATGATTATTATTGATTTTTGGTGAAGAAAATACTTTTTTAAAATAGAAATTTCCCAATTATCAGTTCAAACACAGAA